CTGTACACCGACAACTACACCGTAGCAAGGGACACTATCTACGAGGATTTCGGAGACTCAACCGTGGCAACGAATCAACACATGGAGAACATCATAGCGGCATGCAGAGGAGATCTCAGGGATAATGCTAAGTTCATCAGATTTGTCGAGTGCATCGTCCAAAATGTCCAATCGTTGTTGACCTTAGGGAACTCGTACGACGGCATGTCCGCTCCCTTGTCATGCATGATAGAAAATGCATTACCGTTTGGATATCAGAGGAGGTTGCGAGATGCGTCTAGAGATCTGACGGGAATCACGCCGAAATTGGAATTTCTAGTCAAGTTTCTCAAAAGAGAAAAGACAGATCTAGAGAGAATCCTCCATTCAGAAACGAAGTTTCAAGGGGACAAACCATTCGGGAGCCGCCAAAAAACCGGGAAATCGTTCACTCATGAATACGATAGCTATCAGAAAAAATTTAGTGGACAGAAATTCAGTCCTGCGGGACCTTCAGGCTCGACCAGTAGCCAATATTCATTCGCTCTCGCAGCTCCTCGGGTAGACCACTCGTGTATTTTCTGCGGAGAGCAACATCCTAGCCCAAAATGTAAGAAGCAATCATCGGCTGAGGAAAGACGAAAGTGTGCTGCGACACACAATGCATGCTTTGTTTGTCTTGCGAGAAACCACAGGGCGGACAAATGTAGGATAAAAATCAATTGCGCGGATTGCGGCGGGAGACACTCCACCCTCTTATGCGTAAAACGAAGAAAGTAACAGTCAATGCGGCGTACGCGCGGGACTACCCGGAGAAATCGGGGCAAGAAACTTCGACAACGATAGAAATCAGGGAGAAATACCTCCCAACCGGATACGTCGCGGCGCTGTCGGAGACCGATGAGACGATTTGCAGAATCGTACTAGACACAGGCTCGCAGAAAACTTTGATCACCAATGCGTTGGCGGATAAATTGAAGGCGGAACAAGTAGGCACAGATATATCCTACCTACAATCGGCGGGATACGCGAATCCACGAAAGTGCAAGGGACGTATCGTGGAAGTAGTTCTGAAGAGTAGGTTCTCTAATCAACAGGTGACCATTAGAGCAACAGCATTAGAAAACGTAATCAAGGGCTCACTCCCGAACGCGGGTTTCTGCGGAAATCTAAATCCGATAGCAGATCGAAACGATGGCGAATGGTCAACCGAGGTCGACATTCTGATAGGAGTAGATTCTTTATACCCAATCCTAGGTTGTGACATCAGGAAGGCAAACGGGCTCATCACACTTGAGACTCGGTTTGGATACTTCCTCTGCGGAACTGCGCAACAAAGTTCTCAAACAAATCCGTGGCTGATCGAGGCGATCAGAAATAAACGGAGTGCCTGGTCGGCAGACGGGAAAACATCGGAAAAAACAGCTTGCACGTCTCTAGCGGTGATCTCAAAACCCAAAGCGGAGGGGGAGGACCTGTCGTTCTTATGGGAAACAGAAGTCATGGGAATCGAACCATTCTTTAAGGATGGAGACGAGGCAGCAAACGAAGAATTGAACGATTTCTTCGAGAAAACCATTCGACGCTCTCCATCAGGTAGATACGTGATTAGCTTACCATTCAAACCGAATAAGGGAACCCTCGGAAACAATCGGAGATTAGCGGAGAATAGGCTCAAAAGCTTGATCATGCAGGCTCGAAAGAACCCGAAACTCCTACAGGCGATCGACGGTGCACCCCATTTGGGCGCAGCCGTTTGGGCGCGACCGTTTGGGCGCGGCTGTTTGGGCGCGGGCCATTTGGGCGCAGGGCCGTTTGGGCGCAGGGCCGTTTGGGCGCCGAGCCGTTTGGGCGCGAGCCGTTTGGGCGCGGGCCGTTTGGGCGCGAGCCGTTTGGGCGCGAGCCGTTTGGGCGCGAGCCGTTTGACTGAACTTACTGCGCTCCGGTTCTGGATTGTGACCTCTAGCATCTATCTAGCACCAATCTAGCATACGGAGCGCCCCATTTGGGCGCGACTGTTTGGGCGCGACCGTTTAGGCGCGGCTGTTTGGGCGCGACCCATTTGGTACGTCTCCGCCGATGAGCGAATTCTCAAAATTGTGAGAGAATTCGGTCAGAGGACCACGGTGGACTACTTGCGTGGGCTGGCACGGAATTTCAGGATGCAGGCATCGAACAGCGGACCGCAGACTGCCCCTGAATCGTCGGAGTCAGAGTAACGTGACACGTCTAGGCCTCGCGCGTCCAAATGTCAATACGTATAGATAAGCCTAAAGACTCGCTCATCCCGAATAGTATGGTACAAGCGGAGAATTCAAAGACCTAGGTTAAAGAATGGGTTGCACCTCCGATGCCGTCCGTGTTCGTATGAAGCGCATTTTTTTTCTTCGCCAAGAGCATGATAATCTTCATACGCAGATGGATCCACTCAGAACTCATGATTCGCTCTCGGAAGCCTACGGGGAAGTATTTTCGGCGTTTCCGTCTAGTCGTAATCCAGATTGTCGTTCCTGTGGAACCGAGCGATTGGGACGAGAATTGGTGATAAAGCGTAAGCCGTTCACCGGACAACCAAGACTTCCGCGAGCAAACAATTCTGCGCCCAAATGGCTCGCGCCCAAATGGGGCGCTCCGGGCGATCGATGATGAGATACAAGATCTACTAGGACAGGGCTTCGTTGAGCAAGCAAGCATGCCAGAACCAGGTGAAGACGCCCATTACTTGCCGCTTTTGTCTATGGTCAAAAAAACGGCATCGACAGCAGATAAGCTGAAAGAGAGGGTTGTGAACGATGCGGGAGCGCGCTCCAAGGATGAAGCGAGCTTGAATGACGTGTTATTCCAGGGCGAGAATCTCATTGCGGACATCTTGTTAGTGCTCCTCAGGTTTAGACAATTACCGATCGTAATTACGGCGGATATCGAGAAGGCGTATCTGCACTTCGAGATAATGGCAGAACATCGGACGTATCTAAGATTCCTATGGCCACTGGGCATCGGAAAAAATCCAGGTGCGCCTATGAAAGAATTCCGATCATGTAGATTATCATTCGGGTTAATATCAGCCCCGTGGTTGCATTGCGCGGGCATAAAGCACCACTTAAATTCGGAGATACGGGCTAAACCAGAACACAGGGAATTGCTCGAATTCGTGAAACAACACTTCTACGTTGATGATTTGCTCGTAGGAGCGGAATCGGTGGAAGACGGGAAAGATAAAGTTGCGACTTTAGTCGAGGTCTTCAAAACAGGATGCTTTCCGCTCAAGAGATTCGCGACATCCTCTAGAGAGCTCGGCGAATATATTCAAGACAAATATCCGGAGGCAACGGTGGCTTTCGGAGAAGAGAACGCGAAATTTCTCGGGGTGAGATGGAACCAGATCGGTGACTCGATCCATGTCGATGTCTCGACGGGGTTGCTCTTCTTCGGAAACAGCAGAGCCACGAAGAGGGCTATTCTCAAAGGAGTAAGCCAAGTGTTCGATCCCTTAGGCCTGCTGGCTCCGATCACACTTGGCTTCAAATTACTGCTGCAGCGACTATGGCAAACAAGGATCGACTGGGACAGTCTGATCGAAGGAGAAGAATTGGCAGAATTCGAATCGAGCATAGAAAAATTGAAAAGGGCTACATGCCTTAATTTCGAGCGTCGATTCATAGATTCAGAGGTCGGGGGCAGCACGGAACTACATGTATTCTGTGATGCGAGTCTTACGGCTTACGGTTGCGTGGCATACGCTAGAAACTTCCAGGAGAGCGGAAGAATATCAACCACGTTGATCATCGCGAAAGGAAGGGTGGCTCCCCTGAAGGGAGATTGGTCGATTCACAGACTAGAACTTCTCGGAGCGATAATCGCGGTGAGAATCGCCAAAAAGATACAGCAGGCATACCTGGGAGAGTTCTCGGTGGTCAAATTCTGGTGTGATAACGCATGCGTGCTAGCTTGGATCCGAGATCGTCCCGATAGATGGAAGACCTTCAAGGAGAATAGAATCATTGAGATCCAGCAGGGAACGAAAGCAGAGCAATGGAATTACATCAGATCGGCCGAGAATCCGGCAGACCTGCTGAGTCGGGCGTCGCTCCTAGATACGGAGGAGCTCAGAAGCTTCTGGCTTTTCGGACCAGAATGGTTGCGATCGGGGGAAAATCCGCGAAGTCACGGCCTGAACGACGTCTCGGCAGAGAGAGAAGTCATACACGAACGTAGAGCTCAGTGCTTCGTCGGAGCAATCTCAGAACGAACTTCGAGAGAGACAATCGGATTGAAACCGTTGTCGTCCTGGCCGAAGGCGGTACGCATTGTAGCATACATGCTGAGGTGGAGACAGCGAAACAGCGAGGGCACTCCGAGAGATGGTTTGGTGATAGGTGCGGATGAATTCCAAAGAGCAGAACTATCGATCATCAAGAATATTCAGGCTTGCCATTTCGCAACGGAATTGGATTCAGGCATGAAGGATCTCTCAAAAAATAGCCAGCTCTATCAGTATAAGCCTTTCTTGGACGATGATGGAATCGTTAGGTGCAAATCCAGGCTGTCAGAATCTTGCGAGATATCATACGAGACAGCAAACCCAATCATATTGCCGGGAGAGGACGGAATGGTCGATTTGTTCATTCGATGGATTCATGGGAGCTTATGCTGTCACGCAGGAAGCATTCCAGGCATATTGCAGAGGTGTAGGCAAAGCAATAACGAGTTGCAAAGTATGCGTAAAATACAGGGCTCAACCGGCGGTGGAGTGCGTTCCACCATTACCTAAATTTCGAATCGAAACCGCGCCTGCTTTCACGGTAGCTGCGGTTGATGCAGCGGGACCGTTCCCAGTCAGATCGAAAGAGGGGATATTCCCTGCGCACATAATGCTCTTTTGCGATCCAATCTCGCGGGCAGTCAGGCTAGAATTGGTGCAGAATCTATCGACCTACGAGTTTCTCCTTGCGATGAGAAGATTTTACAACAGAAATCCAACGGTCATGAGATTCTTTTCCGACAACGCGGCGTCATTCCGAAGAGCGGCAAAGGAAATCAAATGGCTATTCGATCTTGCGAGATCAGAGGAAACTCAAGAATTTCTGTCGAAGAACAGAATAACATGGGAATTTAACACCGAGAGAGCGCCGTGGCGTGGAGGCTTCTACGAAAGGCTTTTCCGAACGATCAAACAGCCGCTGAGGAAAATATTGGGGAGAAATTTACCGTCATTCAGAGAACTAGAAACAGTCCTCACGGACATAGAAAAAATGGTAAACGACAGACCACTGACTCATGTAGGCAACGATCCGAATGAGGTGCTGCCCCTCAGACCATCGGATCTGCTGTATGGAGTCCAGGCGAGACCAGCGTTACCAGAGACGATGGAAATCATCAATAGCGCGGAGCATGCTACGGCAGAAGCATTGACGACCAGATGGAAGCATCAGCAAAACATTATGAATGATTTCTGGAAACGATTCCGTAAGGAATACATTCAACATTTGCGAACAGCGCACATGAGCAAACCGGTCAGGGAACGTCCCATCAAAATCGGAGACGTAGTCCTCGTAGATGATCCGGCAGCTTCGCGAAGCTATTGGCCAATGGGGAGAGTAACGGAGTTTTCTGGCCGGGAGGGGCCGGATGGAAAGCGTAGGACCTGCATGGTCAGGTTACCATCCGGAAAGTCTCTGCGGAGGCCCATTCAACTATTATACCAACTCGATATAGCCCAGTATTAACCCGCCGAGAAGGGAAATCAGCGGGGGTTTGAGACAAGAAAGACCACCAATAGGAACGTAAAAGGGAGGTGGACCGCGGTCCGTTTATTTCAAATTTCACAATTATCGTAGGGAAAATATATTGACGTTCAGTCAAGGAAGACGGGCGCCTGGTCTAGGCGCACCAGGCACCGGCGCCCGTCGGGGGACCGAAGGCAGAGCCAACAGCCATCGGGGGCCGAAGAGAGGGCCTGGCCGGGCCGCCGGGCAGGGGCAGCGGGGAACATGGCGGCGGCCCAGACGTAACCTTCGGTGACCATACCGGAGGGGGCCGGGGCGTCGCACGCCGATTGCGGAGCCGGGCCGGCTCCGGCGGGTGGGGCTGCGGGGGGGCCCGGGGAGACTTCAACGACGGCAGACGAGGCTTCGGTGTCGTGGGGGTTGTCGGCGTCGGGTGCCGCTGTGCCCTGCGAGGCGTCGGTGTCGGGGAGGTGGTCGGCTGCGGGTACCGCAGTGCCCTGCGAGGCTTCAGGGTCGGGGAGGTTGTCGGCGTCGGGTACCGCAGTGCCCTGCGAGGTGGTGTCGGGGGGGTGGTCGGCTACAGGGACCGCGGCGCCCTGGGAGGCTTCGGTGTCGTGGGGGTGTTCGGCCTCAAGTACCGCGGTGCTCGGCGGGTGGGGAACTGGATCGGAGTCCCAGCGCTGGGGACGGGCGGGATCATCCCCTTCATCCGAATCCTGGGATGTGGCCGCATCCAACGCCGCGATGAGGTCCGGGATTGAGGGGAGCGCGTATTGTCCGTTCCGGATGCGAGAGTGAAGCGTCAGTAGTTGACGGAAACAGTAGAAGGCAGAGGCCGCGGCCTCATCGGAGTTGCGGCACGCGCGCACGCTGCGGGAACACAGACGAAACAGGTCCTGGGCCTCGTCAGGCATCGCCATCCACAGACGTTCGCGGATGGCTTCCCTCCGGAGAGCTGTTTCGTGGCGGAAATGGGGCGACGTCGTGTCCAGGTACACCGAGAGGAGGCCCCCGGGGGACGAGGAGAAACTCTGGGTGCGCGCGGAAGGCCGTCGAGGCACGTTGTATTGGGTAGCCATGGGGGATGGGCGTAGTTTGTCGCACGGTAAAATCGCGAAGCGTGAGGAAACCTCTTGGAGACAAGTAAATCGGAGCTCGAGCGCTCACGAATTCAACGGGAGGGGGGGCGCGCTCATCGGCCTTGAGAGAGTTTTCGGAGAGTGGAAATTTCAAATGGAAAAGCGGCACGAATCCTGCGGGATGGATTGGGGCGTGCCCCGACCAGACTCCGTCAGATGAAAGTCCGGTGGTTTCTCGCACGTTCAATCATTGTTTAGTTGTTGCAACCCCAGAACCTCCAACAGAATCGCCTCCGCGATTGGCGGGAGTGTGGCGAACCGATTTCTAGGTACGACTGCGGTCGATCCCAAGCAGGGATCGGAACAGTTCCAGAGAGCGGGCTGGAAAGCCACGCTACCAGTGTATCGATATTCCAGAGTGTATTAGAGCTCAGAGCAGAGAGATAGGGAGATGATAACAATAAAGAGCGCCAGAGCCGTCTAGCGGAATTCAGGTGAACCAGGCAGTCGTCTGCAAGCACTGCAGGTTTGCAAGTGCAACGGGATCGTAGCTGCGTGCGCGACCCCCCAGAAATCTCATAGAAAACCGGTTCCCTGAACTTCACGAGGAAGGCCGCGGCCGTGAAAGGTGTCATTCGAGTGGTGCTTTCAATTCCCAAGGGTGCTCAGGGGGGGGTTTTCTACAGCCTGCTCTATCTCTCTACTGCTACCCGTCCGGATGTATCCTTCGCCGTCAGCAGAGCCGCGAGAGCAATGGAGAGTCCAACCTCGAGAGACTGGGGGAATGTAGTTCGGATCCTCAGGTATCTTCGAGGAACGGCGTCATACGGAATCCATTACGATTCACAGAGTCCGATGGAAGTTTTTTCCGATTCGGATTTTGCCGGGGATCTAAAGACGAGACGCTCGACTACCGGACTCGTGGCTGTTTATGGGCGAGGAGCAATTTCGTGGAAGAGTCAACTACAGAAATCCGTGGCTCTCTCCACCACGGAAGCAGAAATTGTCGCTGCAAGTGAAGGCACCAAGGAGCTAGTATGGTTGAAGCGACTTGTGTCTGAGCTGACAACCGACACGAGACCTGTGACTCTATACGTTGATAATGCCAGTGCAGTGAAGCTCGCGAAGAGTCCCGAGTTCCACCAACGTACGAAACATATTGAGACCAGGCATTTCTTCGTTCGAGAAAAGTTCTTAGAAGGGCACCTGATTGTGAAACACATCGAAGGTCTTAATCAAGCCGCTGATATTTTTACGAAACCATTGGACAAGACACGTTTTCAATTTTTAAGAGATAAGATCGGCGTTCAGCCAAAAGATTTGTGGAGGAAGTGTTGAGACGAACAAATATTTGACTTTGTGCTGTAATCTAAATAACTCTTAAGAAAGCCCGCTGCGGTAGATAATAACCCTCATAAGAGGTATCGTTGAACTCAAAGAATAAATGCGCGCACTCGAGCCGAGTAAGCGAATGCGTAAGCAACTGACGCCGCTCTCATTCCTAGAAATTCCCGAAGTTCGATCATAAAACAGTTAGCTTTGGACTTAGTTCCAGCAACCACCCGTGATCCCAATATCAGGCAGTCCTTTGCCACGCTCAGGCTTTCCTTCCGTGCCGCCAGCGAATAAAGGTCGTTCCCTTTTTCGATTTTCGGCCACTGACCCGACAGCGTGTATTTCATGGCCGCTTGCAGGAGTGTGTCCTCCGCTGATCGGAGTCGGATCGTTTCGGCCGTTTTTGGGAGTTTCTTCATGTTGCCGTCGATCTCGTGCTGGAAATCCATTTCCACACAGGCCGTCGGTAGACGGTGGAGTAGCACGCACCCAAGTCCATAGCTTGATGCGTCAGCTGACACGATGATTGGTAGCGCGGGGTCGATAGTGCGTTAGCAGTAGGCCGGACTGGAGTATTTGTTTTTGTCTTTGATGAAGGCCGCCTCGCATTCCGTTGTCCACTCGAACGGTGTTTTTTTTTTAAGTAGACTGTTCAGAGGTTCTCTGAGTGTAGCCATGTCGGCTATGAAGTTGTTGTAGAAAGTCAGCATCCCCAGGAAAGCTCTTGTTTGAGCGACGTTTTCCGGTCGCTTCATATCCAGAATCGGTTGGATGCGGTCAGGGTCCGGCTTTCTGCCCTTTGAGTTTAGGATGAAGCCGAGAAAGCGAATTTCGTCTTTTAGGAATGAACATTTGTCCAAACGAATCGTGAGATTGAAGTCGTTCAGACGTTTGAAGAGTTGGATGACTCTTTGTTCATGTTCGACCTTTGTCCCGCTCGATACCATGATGTCATCCAGATACGCCACTGTGCCTGGAAGGTCGGACACGAGCGAATCCATGAGCCGCTGGAATATGCTCGGAGCAGTTTTTATTCCGAAGGGTAGTCGTTTCATTTTGAAGAGGCCCTTCGGAGTGTTGATTGTTAGGATGCTTTGACTTCCAGCTTCCACGGGGACTTGGAGATATGCTTCACTCAAATCGATTTTTGAGAAGAAGCGACCATTGCTGAGGCCGCTGAAGATGTCTTCGGCCGTTGGCAGTGGGTAGTTATCGTCCTCTATGATTTCGTTCAGGCCAATCGAGTAGTCAGCGCAGAGGCGAATTGACCCGTTGCTCTTCCGGACCACGACGACTGGTGCTGCGTAGAGGGAGGTTTCCACGCGCTCGATGACGCCTGCCTTTCCGAGGCGTTCGATTTCTTTGGTGACGTCGGGAAGAATCGAATAGGCTACTGGTCTTGCCTTTCTGAAAATCGGCTTCGAGTTCTTTCTCAGGGTGATTCTTGCTTCATATTCCCGGCATGCGCCCAGCTTTCCATCGAGCACGTTCACGAACTGCTTTTCGATCTTCTTCAGCAGGGCGGCTTCGTCCGGGTTTTTGGAGGATTGCTCTTGAACTTCGAGTATTTGATTCTCGAACATCCTGGGGTTCACGATCTTGCCGTGCCTGTCCTTCTTCAGCCAATCGAGTCCCAGGATTGAACATTTGTCGGTAACGAAACATTTACCGGTGAACTTTGTTCCGCCGAGCTCTACTTCGCATTGAAGCCCTCCCGAGGACTTCAGGGTGGATCCGTTTGCCACTGTGAGTTTCTGTGTTGATCTCTGCAGCGCTGGGGACCCGAGCTCTGCATACGTTCTCCGGTCGATTAGGGAAACTTCTGCTCCCGTGTCGACGGCCATTTCCACTGGTCGTCCGTTGATTCTTACGGACGTGTAGATCAAGTTCACTTTTGGTTTCGTTCCGATGTGATTGATTCTGGGCCTTGCGCCCGTGGCATGGGGTGCACCGTTCCTGCACACTTTTGCCAGATGACCTTTCTTCTTGCATTTTCTGCAGGTTCCGTCCTTGAATCTGCAGTCTTTACATTGGTGATTGGTGCCTCCACATCTGTAGCATACGTATTTGGTTTGCGTATCTCCGTACGGTTTCGGCGAGTTTTGTACTTTGTACACGGATTTTCGTTGAGAGTTTCCGACGTACATCGCGTCTTTCTTGATGTTCTCAAACATCTTCAAGTCGTATAGGAGTTCATCGAACGTTGTTTCTGGACGGGTCTCCAGGGTGTTTAAAGCCCTGAGACGGAGGAGTGCGTGTTCCGCACGGTGCAGGTTCTGGATCGCGATGAAACATTGAATCTCGTCCACCGAACACGGATGATGGCTTCTGATGATGGCGAGGTACCCCACTCAGCAACTCAAGTCCAAGTCAGGCTTGCGCAATAAAACAATGTCATTATATCAGATACACAGATATCCATGAGCTGTCTTCACTCCATACCCGATTGCCGAGGTTTAGAACAAACTATGCAGACACCAGAAAGCGTCAGAAATGAATCCCCTACATCAGCCGTCGGGACGACCGTCGAGGCATCGTCTCCCACAAGTCGCCGCGATTCTTGTCGGCTGAGAAGTCGCATGGTGGACGGCCGTCTTACTATTTCCGAATTTTCGATTTTTTCCGTGTTTTCGTATTTTCGTGGGTGGAGCACTCAAATAGTTTTTTTAAGGTAGAAGGACTCATCGCATCGGAGAATTGACCCCCCTATAACCACCGCTGGATCGCCCAGAACACGCTCCTGAATTTTCACGACGATCGGTTCAGCCGTTTTCGAGTCTATAGGTGACGCCAGACAAACAGACAAACAGACAGACGTTTTTATATATATAGATAGATGTCCTCCGGAAAATCCATACCCTTCACGGCTGCAGCAATTTTCTGCGAGATTCATTAGTAGAAAGTAGAAAGACAGAGGCCAATGATAACGGCTACCCCCGATAGCCTTCTTAGGAGCTCCCGAGAATCCGCCCCCTCATAGTGGTCCAGCCGTTGGAAGTCCTACAAATTCCCGTCTTTCCCTCGATGAAATCTTTGATTCTCGGTGAGAGGACAACTCAAATAATTTTCTCATGGTGGGAGGACCCAGCACATGAGAACGACGACCCTCAGATGACCTT